GTGCGGTATTAAACCGGACGGCAGCACCAAAGTTGAGTGATCGAGGTGGGGCTTGAACTTCGGACCATAAGATCTAAAACGCGCCGGTAATAGCGACAAAAGCACTGCACCACAACCATCTCATTCCGCAGTCCATCACACCTAGAAGCAAACTAGGTCCCATGGGGAATTGTCGCGTTGCCACTGACTCATCGGGTTTCTCCTCATCTAGCGTAGAGTTCGTTTTTTTCAATCTACAGTCCTGGTGTTCTTAATTGCTTAGTCGTACCTGTACGTGATAAATTGCCTCCAGTGGCGACAGTGCAGTGAGGTGATATTCAGTTACAGCTCGCCGGAGTAAATCCTTTCATCCCAGAGCACCCGTGTCATTTTTGCCTGAATACAGGTATTCAAGTTTTACTTTGTTATCATCGTTTCAGACTGAACCACTTCGCGTAGCAACGCATACTGTTGGCAAAAAGTGGAAACCACTCGATTGGGACAAATCGGGTTCCTGTCTTATCGTTTGGATTGAGCTCCGGTACCAGAAGGCCAGTAAAATTCAGCAAAACATCATATGAAAAGTTCATTGAAAGGAAACTTTATCAGTATTTGGCATATCCGCCTTTGTTAGCAACGACAATACGTTGTGTGGCACACTATCAACAAAGCCTAATGAGTGACACTCAAAAATTTTGCTCACAGCTGTTTGCGAGCTCTCTCGTTCTTAGTTCCCACCAGATTTTGCGGTCTGGAATTTGTTTGATATCTCCTCTTGAAATGATCCCGTCCATGTTGAAGCAGATTAATATCTGGCATTGTAGAAGGTCTTAGTGCGTAGTTTGTAAAAGTGAACGTCTTTACCTGGATATGCTCTCGTTGACGTGGATGATGATGTTCGATCTCTCTTCTGGCACGACCTTCAATTTGTGATTCAATATCTTTAGACATCTTGAATTAAACATGGTTGTGTCGATGAAAACTGACTCATTATTTTCACCAAGTCAGATGATTTCCCATCCGGAGAAACAATAGGGATATCAGTTCGTACTCTATTACCATGACTATTCATGAAAAGTCTCTCCTGAATCATTTCATGCCATGGCGTCCCCGGGGAGCGACGTGTCTCATTTTGTTCCCCCAACGATCGAGGTGGTAATTAAGTTAGCTGAGAGCCGCAATTTATGAAAATGCATCCACAACGTCTGGTGAAATGTGGGAACCCTCCTTGACATTGGTGAACAAGCCATCACCGCGCGCGCACACAGCACGATTATAAAGTAAACGTCGCATGTTTGTCGAAAGTTCGTTTGCTAAGCTCCAACACGCATTATAGTGAGCTTACGGGAAAACTGGTTTTAGCGGCATCGCTCAACGATAGGGTCAACAGGAATCCGAGATCGCTCTTGATTGTATTAGCTCGTTTTCATGCTCCATCTATGAAAATACGTTCAACGAATCTTGAAGAGTAAAGAAGCGCCATTGGAAGATTATTAAAATAATGGTTATCTCGCATCCCTTACAAGACTTTGGTGCAACATACTTTATAATCAATCAGCTTGATACTGTAGTATAAAACCTTCAACTGACCAATGTGTCTTTCTTGTGACCACTCGCCAATCGGGAACATAGTTTTGAGTGTGGATACGCATTTTCGTCCTCCATGGATTCACTTCTTTGCTCTTGTAGTTGGTCCAGCAAACCTATTCTTTCCATGATACTTCGTGCACTTATTACACACCGTTATGTAATCAACAGCTGACAGGGTAAACCCCATAGTCAGGGAAACTGGTCACCTAAGTCTAGAGTTCAGTTTGTAAAACCATTAACCACGCATATTCGTGCGCCGGTTTTGGTTGCTGTCTTTCGGCTGCCCATTTGGATGAAAATTAGGAGAAAGACAGGAAAGGTTGAAAGTAGGATCGAAGATAAGATTGAAAAGTTCAATGGATTAATGATACAGAGGAATTGAGAAGATGCACGAACGCCTTTGTTTACGACACCTAAGTCGAGAAATCTGCTTTTTTGACCCACATAAAGCCCCACTAGGTTAGGCGTGGTATTGAACCCAACGACCGAGCGTGTTGAATTTCGTCACACTATTCCTGTATAGAATAATAACACTGCTAAAATTACCGCTCGGATTCCCTCTTCGTCCACCCCACCCCTCTGATTTCGTGTCCGCCCACTTGTAGTCGTTCAGCAGTTTCGCGAGTATGTCGAACCGGACTCATTGCTCACCCCGACAACACCGGCACCGATCAGTCACGCCCCGTTGCCCACTGCTCCAACTGCGGCCCGCCGTGTCACCCAGTCATTACACCCGGCCACGGCCGCTCTGTTGTCATCCACACTAACCACACAGGCATCCAGCACGGACCCTGTCCAGCAAACAAACTCGTTGAACACGGATCCCGATATGGATGATGCGGACGGAATTCTGAACAGTCCAATGCTCCTGCCCTTGGATCCATCTACACTATCGGAAAATTTGGGCATCCCCTTGGTCGTGGTGGTCACAAAGGTTGGTTGAAGAACTTTATTTTCTCCTTCACGCTCCCCTCCCCTCCGCCCAGTGAACCACTTCTCGATTCAATGGCTGCTTGTTTCACCTGAGATATTCCAAAAAAATGAATTTTCAACAATCATATCAAACCGAACTAAGCACAGATTTATGATTGTAGGTAACTATATAATAAAACAATATATGTTAGTTGAATACAGCCAAATAGCAAGTGGATATGTTATGGTGTGCCTGGGCAACGCAACACCAATTTTCGCGATAGTTCAGTTTAAATCCAGGGTCACTAACCTAGCACGATCATGGGGTTGAACGCTCACAATGATCAACAGTAGCTTATATATATATATATATATATATATATATATATATACGCCGTTTGAAACTGGAAGTCAACCTCGTTTAGGGAATAGGGCTGGTGCGATATCTGCTTGTACCTCGGAATTCAACACCGGACTGATCCCACTCGGTTTTTGATCTGTTAGGCAGTATCTGAATAACTAGCACGAGTTCTTCTTTGTTGTAGTGTATGTGCATCAGTTTATGCAGTTCTGATTTCCGGTTGTTGCATCGTTAGTCCATCGTTCCTTTAGACAGCTGCATTGTCTATTGAATGATCATCACATCCGTTTTAACAGAATTCTCAGTTTGAACAACCAATGAAAACATCGTGCACTGTGGTGCGACGGTTAAGTCTACTCTCCCATTTTTTCGACCAATGAAGAAAAAGGTGAACGAATAAAGGACATAGTTCGGAGTGGGGACAGGGGGTGGGGGATTGTAAGTATGAAGATAATGATACACATAGAACGCTCGTATACAAGGTCTCTGACTAGATGTACGAAGGTTACTCTTTACGACACTTGGTCAGATCACTCAAGGCCTATGGCCATTGATAAAATTAGGCAAAAGATCCCCAATCATAAAGCCCGAACTAATCTATCTAAACAAGTCCGCACGATCAGGATTTTCACTCCCTCATTACATATCTTATACTTTTGGTCTCCCTCACACTACCGCCTGTCTCCACAACCAGACTTGCACAATTCCACTCGACTCATAACTTAGCCGACGCCTTCTCGCTATCACACAGTAGGTTCATGCAGCCGCGGAGATCTGTCCTCCTACCGTATATCACACCCTAGTGTGTACGTGTGTGCATGTTCATATTGGCTTATCGTGAACGTTGTGCAACTTACTTCACCACTTCGCCCCGTGCCACAAAAATAGTTCTTTTTCTGGCTCATTTGCGAAGTGTGCTTCTGCACAGGTAGGGGTTTGCTTGTATGTAGTGTCAAGCTAAGGCAGAGCCAGTGAAACTAATTTCATGGAATGATACGACGTATTGGGTACCCAGAACGCGTAAGGCTCGTCCTAATGACGTACTTGGCGGGACACCCCACGGCTTTCATACTGCCTGGCTGTCTTCTGGGTGAAGCTATCGCTAAACAAAGGCTCCTACTTTGAATCCATGAGAACAGCGTTAACTTGAGCAATCCGACAGCGTCAGATCCACTAACAAATCCCTGGTCGATTTCTGTGTCAAAAAGATTTTTGTACTATGGTTTGTTGGCCACACATTGTGGAGTCAAATTGGTGTCAGGTATGGCACTGTGAAATCTGAATAGAATGGCTGAAACAAGTTCTGACTAGTCTTGTGTCACATGACTGAATTTGTCTGCGCAACGATCAATAGTATTTTACCTTATCAGAGAATAGTGTTTGGTCATTGTAAGTAGATTTTAGGGTTAGTTTCACCTCCCCCCTCCCCATTAGTGACTGTGTCACTGCATCATGACCTTTAACTGTTTCATCTGATTCACTTATTGACAAATGTCCTAGTTGTCATGATCCCTATCAAAAATTTGGTCGAAACCATCTTGTGGTGTTTGTATGCAAGCAGCTAAATGAGTATACACCAACTAATCGAATTCGTTTAATTTTGCTGTGAAATATGATTTTCAACGGCTTCCACCCAAATGGCACAGATCATGCCTACTGCCTCTGTATTGCGAATTGTAATCCACTCGATTTTCTCCCCATGCGCTCATCATGAATTGTCTTTTTATTCTCTGTGAAACTTACTTCCCTTCCCCTACACACGCACTAACCCACACTCACGACAGACTGATGCAATGAAGACATTGGAAAAAGAAGACCGGTTCACGGAAGAACACTTCGATTTCATTCAAATGCACATTCGTCGATTCTGTTTGCGATGTGAGTTGTTTTTATCCCCATTCATCCATACTTGTTTTTGTTTTCTCTATGCGATTCCGGAAGCGTGATAAAAGCGTGCTCGGTTTTCTGTCCCCCCACACGATGATGGTTCTTATATCACATACATCCGTCTGTTTTGACTACTCCACTCAACGGAGATACTATTTCATACTTCATACTCTCTCGTCTATTAGTCTCGCGGTGATGTATGACGGGGTCAAGTGGGAAAGCATTGACTGTATCAGATATTCGGTTGTTCGTGTTTGTATTATGTTATATTTCATTGTATTGAAGCTTTAGCGAGTTATATACAAGCTTTCAATTAAATAGACCACAGTTACAATTCTGGTACAAAAGTGATGAAAAAGTGGAACGTAAAACATACAAAAATATGAGTTAACAAGGAAGTACATTAGAAAGCTGAAAACGAACACTTCCTTGTCGGTAAGTATCCGGACCATATAGGGTAGCAAAGAGTTTCTGTATGCAGATATGCGAGACAGGATAAGTTTGTACTTAGAACGGGTGAAGGGCTGGGATTTTCATGCACACAGGTCAATGTATAGAGGATAGGATATTGTCAGCAAACTTTAAGCATGCATCAATATGGGCATTGCACATATTGCCAATCAGAACAGATAATGGAACTTGAGAGACACGGATGATCGTTGAGAGGCCACGCCTCAACAACTTGAAATCAGCCTCCAGAAAACCAGGGAAAATTACAGGGGAGCGATAAAGGGGTATAGGGAGAACGCGATATTGAACGACAGCGTCTATTACCGACAGATCGGAACATAAGTGACGCAATCTTCTTATTTGAAAACATAAAAATTTCAAATTGCGAGCAACGGTTTGGGGATGTAAGGACCAGCTAAATTTACTTTCAAATGTGACACCTCAGTATTTCACGTAGCTGACCACGCTCCTCGGCTTTCCATGAATCTGGACATTGTCGGAGGGAGATCGGGAACGGTTTAGAATAAAAATACATTCAAGGCATTTTTCGGGATCCAGATTAAGACCGAATGAAGTGGGATACGAAACGATGTATGATAGGTTGGTCATACTCAACCATTTATGATTGGTTAGATACGGAGACAGAAATGGCGATATTATCAGCGTACTTGAAATGTAATAGGTAAGTCGCAAAAGATAGGGTGATAGGACAGCACCTTGAAGTACACCCGAGATATTGAGTGATGCGATTGATGGTCTTCTTCCTAATTTAACATGCTGATATCTTTTCGAAAAGTAATCAGCAAGCCATTCAAGAAGAGAAATGAAACGGCCAAACGATTGAAGCTTGGTAAGTAAAAGAGAACGGGACACCGAGTCAAAAACGGAAGAATAGCCAAGAAGTTCATAATGCACATTTGGCATTCTCGTTAAGGGACTTACAGATGAAATGTACTAGAGAAGCAACGGTATCCAATGTAGAGCGGTTATGTTTGTATGCAAACTGGTAACTATCATGGGGGGGGTGGTAAGGGATAACTGAAGACGATGCAGTACTGATCGCTCCATCAATTTCCAATCAGTGGAAGTCAGAGCAATTGGTCTGAAACGCTTCGCTATTGGGGCCTTTGACGTTCCTATGGGGATGGGAGTAATTCTCACTGGTTGCCAGAAATCCGGAATAGTTCGGAACTCGAGTGAGAGGTTAGCTATGTGTGCAAAAATGGGGGACAGTGGCACAGCACGATGTTTGAAAAGTCAGACTTAAGTTGTTGGGACCAGGTACGGTCGACACCTTGAGAGCTGTTACCAATCGTTTGGCGTTCTTGTGTCGTCCAGCATTGCTAGTTTTGCTATCACCCCAAGTATTGCACCTCGAGATACTCATTGTTCCTCTTTTCTTCACTGTGATAAACCTAAATCGTTTGCAATGTCTGAGCTTGTAACTGCAATACCAAAACGCGGGCAGATACAATCCACAGATACTTTATACTGTGTCGATGGCCGCCATGAAGGATATAGTCGATGGGGAGCGATCTAACCGAACAGTATTGGAGTTTGTCAAACTACTCATGCAAGATAACACGCTGAGGGGCACCAGACTGTCTTTGGGGCTACCATGACAGCGAGGCATACTCAACTTAACTGACTTTGGTGTTACGGCATTCTCAATCTTAGTCCCAATCTTCATGACCGAAACAAGTCAGCGTGGAACAACACGAGAAGCACATAGCGTGGTTTCTTTAGGGTTTCAGACTCCAACGCGGATTGTTACCCAGTGGCTGTTCAGTGTCGCTGTATGAATGGGATTTGATTGTATGTGATGCACATGGTGAAATACACGTAACTTGATTTCGAACTGTTTATGCCTCCCTATCTGTCTTGCTATCGGCATTCAATCAATCCCCTTGGTAGGTGATCTGTTACTATTGATAACTGTTTAGTGACTCACATATCGGAACCATTAGCCGTTCTGTTAGACCATACAGCACTCCGGCAATCATGAAAACAAGGCACTATTTCGCCTAGTTACAAAGGTGGCTATCGTAGTCACTCCGCTAACCACCGACCAGTAACACATCTTTCGGTGGTATCCAAAGTCCCTAAATCAATTGTGGCATACTTCCTGATGGAACATATGAGAAGATATAAAATTATTTCGCTAGTTCAACACGGGTTCTGTTAAAAGCGATCCAGTGAAATCAATTTGCTCATTGTCCGAGGTGAATGGATATGAACAGTAGACGAAGAAGCCGTGATGGATATGGTTTATCTGGACTTCATCAAGGCATTCAATCATTAGACACAATTGCAGAAGCTTATAATGACAGGATTCACGATCTCGTGCTTGGTTGGATTAAAGTATTTCTCCGACAGTTCGTGTTTCTGATTCCTTGTTCGGTTCCAGCAACGTAACCCGCTGGGTTTTATAATGATCTGTACTCGTTCCCTGACTTTTCCTCACGTTCATAGATGATCTATCGGTTGTTCTAGGGTCAAAAATAATATTCCTAAAATTCTTAAGTACGGTCCAATTGGCAATGCTCCAAACTCGATTATAGATCAGTGGATCCGCATTAATCCTCATCACACTGATCCAGAAGAACCAGGTTTCAGTTGTTCACGATAACCGAGGCGATGGGCATTTTTTTCTTTGTTTCATGACACCCAAGTGTTCACTCTTGCAGTAGCACGCACACGCGAGACTGGTGTCCTCTTTTCACATTCTGAAATTGACCCAGACTGACTGTCATATCGCGCGCTCTCTCTCACACTCTCGGTTTCTCATACATCAATGTATCGAGTATAACAGATCGAACACGAGAATGCGCTACATACATCCAAAGTTACCAAAAGCTCGTCTTCTTCTGATTTTAACCTATGAATTAATCATTGTCCCCACTATCCTCCCGTGCAATCCCCTCTCTTTCTGTTTCACAGATGGTGCCGCATTGTTCTATGTTTCGGTCAAGGAAGACCGCAATTGCGATTTGTTGAATCGCTATCTACAAAGCCGTATCTACGGATTTCCGTTCACACAAAGTGCCTATGTGGTCGAAAGGGAATGTGTGTTCGTGTAAGTTTGATCATGGCCCCTCACCGTTTTCGAACGCGTATTGTCCTGCCGTGCTTGTTTCGATGCAACGTGTTGTCCCCAGTTTTTCGCGGTTTCTTTCGGTAGATCCGATTGGGAATACAGGTAGAAGGTAGAATATGCAGAAACAATGTGTCCTTGAGGATCTCATCTCGGGTTTCCGGTGACAGGCTCGTTAACAGAACAAAAAACCCTCAAGTTATTTAGGTCCATTTGGTCGGTACCAATTCATGAATCTTCTTCATCATCGTGCAGCTAACGACAGTGAAAGCGTACTTCATCGACCCCTGTCAAGCTCACAATGCACACCATGCTAGTGACTGTATTTAAGACGGATAGGGAATAGGCCTATTTAGAGGGCAGAAAGAACCTCTCCGGTCATCTGGTGGTGCAAACATACCTTTTCAAGCATTCTGACCCGATAGGAGATGGTACCAGTAAATACCATTGCTGTCTGTTTGTTACCGTATCCTTCAGTGCATCCAACCAGGAAGTAAAAAACTTAACCCTCATAGTCCTAAATTACAGAACATCTAAGTCTCGGACTGTGTAATGTCCTACTGTATGAAATCCCAACAAGGTTAACACAACATTCGAACAGTTCAGGGGGAGACAAAATCTGCCCGACGTGATTTCTGTTGATGCGGTTAGGATTAGAACATCGGACTTTTTGCTCATCGGTGACAACAACTTCGACTGCCGTACCCCCTCCTCCGTAGGTCTATCTCCTTCCGAATGATGTCATAACATGCGCATGTGTTGACTGGCCGGTTTAACTTTATTTGGTTCGCTCCCTTCATCCCACCGTTCTCGCTGGTTGCTAATTTGTTTATCTGCTTCCTATCTCTCCTCTCCGACTTGCTCGCCAACCGACTCTCAGTCCGACCGGTTGGGATAGCGAGAAAAAGATCTCCATTCTGGAGGAAAATTTCGCCCAAATTCGTTCGACGGACGCGTACAATGATGTGATTCCCCGTCCACCGCCAAAAAAACCTGCCGTCCGGGAGCCAGAGTTGATGACTCAAGATGAACAAGTAAGATCGCTGTGGACGCGTACCGATTGGGGTGTGCATTGCTCACTGGATTTGTCACGCACCTCATCCAGTCGGTGCATAACTGTCATTTGATGCTAATTTTTCTCTCTCTCTCTCCAGTTTTGACACTGCTACGGCTGCTGCTGCTGCTGATGATACATGATATGTTAACCCCCTTAACAAAGTCTGTTATTCAACGCGGTCGCTTTTGTGATAACATTCTGTACTCTCTAATGTTCTTGATCGAAATTGCCACTCAGAGAAGTTCGTTCAGTCACATTGTTGATGCTTTTCTTTTAATTTTTGTCGTTTCGATACTCCCTGTTTGTCATCAGTATACATACATACATACATACATACATACATACATACATACATACATACATACATACATACATACATACATACATACATACATACATATATATATATATATATAATCACACGTCTGACTGTGTACCAAACAAATCATGGTTCAATGATCTTTATAAAAAGGAAAACGTTCTGTGATGTGCGTGCAGGCTGAATACTGACAGGTTTCCCAGGTAAAGGCGGGTCAACTCTTAAGGAGTTCACAACCGGAGCCTTCGTTTAGTCAAAATCTGACTCGCAAAGCAGTAGGGCGGTATGTGAAAACCGCAATCAATTGGGGCCCGGTATCCAGTTCATCGGATCATACACCCATTGGACGGGGGCAAACGTCCAAGGTACCGAATGCACCTTGATGCCCAATCAAGTCGGTGACCACTGCCACAACCAGGAAGTGGAATGTGTGAGTGTGTGTGGTTCGTACTCCTTCTCTTGGTTGGTTTGGAATCAGGGTTTGTAACCATCTATCCTAAGTGAACTGCCAGTGGTCCACCAACCCGGTTATATCCCCGGATATCGGCTATTCATCCTTTCACTTTGATGGGAAAACACCACCACGAGAAAGCAGTGAGTAAGACTTCCCCAGCAGAGGCTATTTGAGACGCTTGGTCGTATGGGAGTAGTTCGCGAGTTGCAAAGGAATGGCGACCAGCCGCGATTCTAGACACCCATCTCCGACCATACTGAGACTTTCGGAGGCTCCATGCGGTGGACGATAACGAGGAACGCGCGTACGGTATCCGAACCGTCATCCTATTCATCTTATTAATCCTGTGAATAGTGTCTCACTGTCCATTTTCGATACATCACATCCCACTGGGGATTGTATTGTAACCTTTGTGATGTACATATATTGATTGATTGAATTCGTAGAACTCGAATAATCTGCTGATTTTCCGTTCGTGGCCTATTTCGGTCGACCAAATGACAGAGTAGCTGCAGCTGTGTTGAATCTGCATTCCCCACTCCGTGCTAATCGATCTAGTCCTGAAGAAGTTCGTCGATGATTTCCTTTGCATTGCATCGTGCCCTTTTTTATCCGACTTCGAGCCCATCCCCCCTCTAAAAGAAAATGCAGGACTCGGACTTTCTCCCTCATGCACGCACACTTGCAACCTTGTCCATCTTATTTACACACCAAAGCTGTCAAATAGGGCGCGTGTTTGCAGAGAACTTTTGTCCAATCATTGTGGTAGTCCTGTCAAACCACATTAGAGTAAAGTAGGTTGATTTAAGTAGCATGTATCTCACGAAAAAGACTTGGCCACTCAAAGCGCTGATTCACAACTGGATTGTATGAACAAAGCCTGTTTGAATAAACATACACAGAAATGCAAACCATCATTTTGAGGAGAAAGTCTCTTTTTCTCTC